TGATACCTATAAGGTAATATTTGACTCGTAGAAAAATTTCTAAGTGTACAATTTCCACTCCTCTTATTGCTTTTATACACATTTAAAACCATTATATTTCTGTAAAATGTAAATGTAAAAGACATAGTTTCGTTTTTGAAATATTAAATTCCAAACATTACTAGCTAAATAAACTAAATTTAATTTTAATATTACTTAATCGAGATTAAAACAGAAATTCTAAGGTAATATTTGAGTTATTTGACTACAAGAGAAATGCTTGTACTATAATACGATCATAGAATACTATGAAATGCAATTTTTAAACTGAATCGATAGTTGAGATCATTATTTAAAATTTTTTCTTTATAAGAAATATACAATGTATATCAACTAAACACAATAAGTCTATACGAGAAGGGAATACATTAATCAGGTAACATTATTCAGGTTGCATAAATAACTAATAAGGAACCACTTAATAGCACTTAACACGAAATTCACGTTATTACAGGATTAAATTAAAAGATCTCCACACCATTTCTTTTTGAGCCTGGAACGGGGAATCCCAGAAAGTGACGGAATACGTAAGCTTTTATCAGAGAATTTTTGTGGTTTTCTAATCTAATATTTAAACGTTTGAAGAAGACAGCAGCTTCTTCTCCTACTGTTTTCATGCCTAGGTATTTGTGAAAAGTGAAGTTAGAGGCAAAGGGAGGATCATTTGTAATTTTTCAGAGTGTAATATTTTGAAATTATTTTAAAAAAATATAGGTATTTATATGAAACTCAATTATTTCTGTACAATAATTAATTATTACTGGGCTATGGCAACTATTCATTATACAGAGTACCTATATGGCTATATTGTATATTTTTGTTTATTCTTTAAAAAAAACCAGCGGCCATTGTTTCAGGAGTCTGGCTCACGGAGTTCCGATAATTTTAAATAAATTTCAATCAACGGTAATATAGGTATAGTCAATAAATATAAAATATTTGATTAAGTTGTCTAATATTAATTAAAATTGTCCAACCCAAAAAATATATACTTGAATGTATATAACTTAAATAAGTTTTCAGAGGTAAATTCAAAATTGTTGCATCACTGAACTGGGCTTTTTTATAGTTTCTCCCTATTCTATACTTATAAAGTTATAAAATATGACAAAACTGTATTATTTTTATAATGATACTGCACGATCGCCAAACAGTATTTACCGAGTATTCGTTCGTCAGCCATTTGACAACGAGATAAATAAAAAAAATTATTATCCAACAAAATTACAATATTTGTCACAAAAGTTGTAAAATGCAAATAACCAATCCTAAATTTATCCTCACGTATAATAAATCCAATTTTTTTAAACATTCTCAGTACTTTATCGTGCATTTATTGATAGGTATACTTTTCTAAACACTTTTACGGAATTTGAAGAACAGTAAAAAATGAAACTACTGACAACATTAAAACGAACTAACACAATGCTAGTCCGTCATAATTTTTTGTCCACAAAACAGCTTTTGGCTGATATTCGTAACTCAGTGCCATTCAGGCTCCCCTCCAACATTCACCAGATTTAAGTATTTAACACCTTGTGACTTTTATCTAATATCAAAACTCAAAAGTGAAAACTGCGTTGAAGACACCTCATTTTGAGTACGTGGAAATAGTGAAAATAAAAAAACAGCAGATAAACTTAAAAACTTGAAATCAGAAGCACTGCAGGTTTAAAAAAAATAAAAGATGCAGTGCAATTTAATACAGAATTCTGAAAACTCGTTAGTCATTTCGTAGAAATTTCGTCTCACTGCACAAGACTTTATGTACATTCCAACGGTGACGTGAAATCGAGTTGATCGAAAACATTTTTTTTTTACCAATGCTTCTCAAATAAAAAAAATTGTTAGCAAGACTTTTTAAAAATAAAACCGTGAACCACATACAAAATCATATTTTCAGGTACATAGACAGTACATTTCTATTAGCCAACAATTTTGGGCCCTTGTATCATTTTCATAATTTATTTCCCATGAGAAACTTATAGAGCCTGTTGAGCGCTTCTATATCCATACTTCCTCAGCTACTTAGGCAGAATCCCATACCAATAATCTTATTTAAATAAACTAAACGATATTTTTAATTATTTAAGTAATAAATAAGTACCATACAGGGTGGAATTTAAACTTTCAGTAGCGTCAGATTGAGTTGTACGTCTTTTTAAACATTTGTTGGGCTAATAAAATAGTTACTAATACGTTTTATTGTAATGGGTTAACACGATCAGAGTACAAGTGTCATGCAAATAAGCAAATTTGTAACTATAAAATTTGATTATTTCTACAATTGACGAATGATAATTAAGTAATAATAGACTAATCAACTACTAGACTAAACAATATCTGATATTATCTGGTATGAGGCCGAGTTGACAGCCTTGTCTAGAGAGCCTAGATAATATATCTTCTTTATATATATAATGCTACTGTACGTGTGTATGTCACTGAACTCCTCCTAAACGACTGGACCGATTTGAATACATTTTTTTGTATGCGTTTGGGTGACGCCCTGGATGGTTTAGATTCACAGTTGGACCCGATAGGTCCGACCCGGGGAGTTGCACAAACAGGGATTTTAAGATTTACGAAGGAAATATTTGTTTATATACGGTTGCTATTGGTTATAGGAGAAATATAAATATATTTAGTAGAAATGGGTATTTTTTTGTTTATTGGTTGCCTGCAGTGGTTCATCGGGAAAATCAGGTATATAAGCATGCATGAAATTGAATTTACGCACATTGCCTAACAAGGTGGCTGAGTTCCACTAATGGCCTCTCATCGGTGTGTCCACAATCAAAATAAAAATAAAACTATTATTTATATAAAGTATTCATCAAGCGGGGTCTGCAATACACAACAGGTAGGCATAATATACTGCAGACCTAACCTCGCATTATCACCATCGAGTCACATACAGAGTTGGAATTTTTAAAGGCAACAAAGTGCACTGGATCAGCTATTATAATATATTATATATTTATTATCTAGGCTCTCTAACCTAGTCTATTTATGTCCACGATAATATTTTATTTTGCCATTGTCTTTGTTTGACGATATTTTATAAGACAATGGCTCAAACGCTCAACATAGAATACTTGTCAATACTGGTAGGGATATAGTTATTGGCACCAAGACATTTTTTTTTCGTTTAAATAATGTTTGGCTATGCATTTTAGGGGTATTTCGTTTTAATTATACGGTTACACTAATACTATTTTATCATCAACTTTTGTATTATCGTATTATTTATCTGATTATTCCCAGTTCGATTCGTAAAATATTTATTTTTTTGTAATATTTCGAAGGGGTGGGTGGCCCTGGGCCAATGTAAATTTAAGGAGAACCTGGCACACTTTAACGATATTGGTAAGGGTATTAATTGTTCAACCACGGTATACATTTACTTGCGTACTGGTAGCCGTAGTAATTTCCATCGTCAATGGTCAGTCAATTAAACCGGGTTAAGCTATTTCGTGTATCGTGTCGTATCTAAAAGTTGACCTTGGCCTAACTCTGGGAATTTCCCGGTAAGTTATGGTGTGTGGATGATCCATGATTACTAGGACAATATGAATACAATAAAAGCTACACAACAAGGACAGACGACGTAACTGTGAACAGTGTCAACCCGGCTTTAGTCTGTCAGCAGAAAACGTGTGGTTATGGTGATCGATTCCCTCCAACTTATTTCATAATCAATGTAATAAAGATGTATTCAGAGCTTAAAAATTCGTCTATTGAAAATTTAATGAAGCACAATTCTCCGAAATTTAATCTCTTATGAATCAAGAATGGATTTATGTAGAAAACTAAGTTGGATAAAACAATTTACAAAGGTAAATAATAAATACAATAATATATTTTTAGTAGGTACGCGTACGTTATACTTTAGAATCAAAATGTCATTTATGCAAAGCAGCTTTTTTTTTTATGTCAACTATTAACATTTCGCATATAGTTTCTCATCTACGTTTTGACGTTTAAATCACTTTCATCGTTTTTTTTTTTGAAATTCAATACTGTTGGCTACAACGCGATATGCCAACTAGTATTTAGTATTTAAAATCACATTGGTAGAAAGCAGAGCCTCGTACAGTTTCCTTGTGAGTTTCGTATTACATGACATTTTTGAGTGTAGGTTCTAGGCACCTATACCTAGTACAAAATACAACGATACCTGAGGTTTTAAAAAAATATAAACACTAAATTATTATACATTATTCACTAGATTGTATGCACTTTATTGTTTAAAAACGACTTAGAGACTAATAATAAAAATAATAACAAAATAGATAATTTAAAAATAACTTTTATGTGACACTGGCACAGCTAATAATCAATGAAGTTGAAGCCTAATATCAAATAAAACACAATAATAATACATATTTAATTGATTAGGTGAAATTGTATACGGTCTGTACTCGGTAGTGAAACGCGTAGGAAGGTCAATGAAAGACCTACCAGTGTTGCAGAAATGATAAATACGCTAAATTCTATTAATTAAACAGAGCGCCGTGGTTAATAATATTTAGTGTATATTTAGCACATGACTATTATATGGTGTTATGAAATAATATGATCATATACAGAGTTGAATGTTTTGTTTCTTGAAAAACTGCCAATATAACGAACGGATACATTTAACAGCAAATAGCACTTAACAAACAATAAAGATAATTGAACAATATTCATTTATCGTCTCACAAGATACTATTTTTGAACTCGAAAAAACATGTATAAAAACATACAGCATTACTAATCCCGATAAATAATTTAAGTTAGGTTTTATCTATATTTTATCTAAATTATAACCTTCTTTAACTTAACATAGAACTTAAGAATCCAACTTATTATATTAAAAAAACCTAAGTAAATTAATCAATAATATAAGGAACATGATATGTTATAATTTTTTAAATGTATTTGATAACCGATATCAATGTGTTATAGCGATTAATATTGAGGTATGCTTAATATTCATTAATATTGCAGGTAGCTTGATTTGTTTATGAATGAATTTCAGTATCAAATAAAAAATGATGTTACATGTCAAAAATAAACTACAATAAAACATAGAGACCATTTTCGAAATCAACAAAATGTGTTGAAATATTTAAATAAATAATAGATACTTTATTTTTATTATTGTTATTAAATATTTTAATATCAGTGTTTATTTAATTTGAAGAATTATTAAAACATCCTTCTAAGTATGAATATTTATGCAATTCGTGCAATTGGTTTAGCAACTTTTATGAAAACTGAGAAACCAATTTTAAATTTAAAAAGTACAGAAGATGTCTATTCGTTAATCGGTACCTATCGCCTATATCTACATTACTATGACATTTTATTTTTAATATTGAATGAAATGAACTATTTTCAAATAAAATTAATGATCTGTATTTTGACTAAAACCAAAATAGATCATTGATCAATTAGTAGCAAATAAAACTAACCAACTGGAGAGCGGTATTTTATTTTAGATATTGATAACACATCAAAATTATGCTTCAATGAAAGATTAAGTATAGTGAACGAAAAAGAAGAAGAATTAGGTGAATTTGTTGGTAAAATACGAAAAAGTGGTTCAAATACTAAGCCTGAGTCTTTAATGATAATTTTAAACTCAACTAGTATTCACGAACATGGTAAAGAAATTGGATTCAGTGTAATAACAACCACCACAACTGATTTTCTTTCTTACGAAGAAAAATGGTCACAATGGTAATACATAACTACATATAAATTAGAAACCAAATAAATTTTAACTCTAAATGATTGGTGAAAATATTTAACAACTCTAGGACCTCTAACAAATCTAATATGACATGTAAAACAGTTTTAATTTCGAATAAAAACAATGATGGAAGTATACAAATCTACACGGATTTAAACAACAGTGAATTAATTGATCAAACTAAAAACATAAATTTAAAATACATAAAAGTAAGGTTACAAATAATTAGTCACTAACTTTAACCAGTGGCGGATCCAAGGGGAGGAGTAACAGGGTGAATACCCCCCCTTGAGCTTATTATATTCAAATGTATTACATTGTGATAACTTGTGAGAAATTCTGTTGGATAAATTTTAATTACCCCAACCCCCTTGATAAATTTCTGGATCCACCCCTGTCTTTAACCTTTTGTTAGTTATTAGCCATTAGGTACGTATTATTTATTAGTTACCTAACATTTAACTTAGATAATATATTATAAGTTATTTGTGTTTATGTAACATGAAAAATGTATTTGGTTTAAGGATCGAAACGTTGTTTATATGATTGTATGCATTACATCAGACCGAAACTCACTTCCTATACCTAGATTTACCTACAGCTATATATTGTTGTAAATGAATGTTAGCTAAAATTCTACTTAAAAATCTTTTTTTTTCTACACTTTACAGATTCACTATGATAGTAATATGAAACATGCTTTACCATTAAGTATAACAATATTTGTTTTTTCTAATTTCTAAAATTGTTTTTGTAAGTCACGGACATTTTTAACTAAAAATAATTCTGTTCAAATGTTCAACATTGTAGCGTAATTACTAATTTATTCTGGCCTCTGGGGAGAGAATTATTCAAAGTTTCGTGAAGTTAAAGTCCGTTATTACATCCGGCATTGGTCACAATCTAAAGTTTGAATACTTTTACAGTGTATATTTTATATACAAAATGTATTTATAAAAATATATTATTTATAAAAAAACGCTTTAATATCAATGTGTATTTTCTTTTTTAAAACATGTAAGAAAGAACAGTAGATCGTAAAAAATTGTTTGTATTATAATATTATTCCTAAAATAAATGATAAATAAAAAAACCTAACTTAACCTAGGAACCTCGTATTTGTTTAAAATTAACATATGCTATAGTATAGTGTACCAGACAGGGACGGATTCATGAGGGCCTAGAAATTTGGATTTTGTAATTTAATATATTATAATAAATTATTTATTTATTACATTAACATTATACAAATATTTTTGAAATATTTTCCTAATACACTAAAAAGTATAATTGCAGAATTTGCTAACCGAAGGTATGAACTATGCTTTCCTCCGATATCTTGCAATAATGGGATTTGAAGGTACCATTAATAATAAAACAGCTATCACCATCAACGGAACATTGTGTAAAACAAAATACGTACGTCGACACTTAAAAATCTTAATAAATTGAAATTGAAATTGAAATTCAATAGCTCTTACCTTTTTTGTATAGATATGTTCATTAAAAGACAATTACAAAATTAAAAAAATAGCAATATCAGTAGTAATAATAAAAAGGGTTATAAAATTAGAAAAATCTTTGAAAACTCCAGTTATACGAACGATTACTGTTTTAACCCGTTTGGGTTATATATTACATCATTCATGGGGTAAAACGATTAATCAGAAATTGGTGATCAATAAGTCAATGCAAATCACCAAAGATGGTTTTGTTTATAACGACACTATGGCACATCTAAAGAATAATATGGATCAAGATATTCGTTTCAAATCGATGTATCTAAATAAAATTGTAAGTATAAAAAAATTCACTGCAGAAATATGATTTAATATAACTTGATAATTACACTTTTAGTCTGAAATGAAAATAAAGTACAAGACTTACATAAAAAACAACAGGGATGTGAATGACATGACCATTGACTATATAAAAGCTGTGTTAATAGCCAAGCCAGATAATGTGTTACAGTTTTCAATTGATTACTTTAAAGAGTTCTAAATAATTTTTAATACCTAATTAGTTTTGTGTATTTATATGAAATGATGAATTTGTATACAATTGAAATCTAGCAACAATAATGTATAGTTACATTATAGGCACACACTTTCAGTGGAGCAACCAGGGTGACGGAGTTAACCCCCCCCCCCCCTCTAAAAAAACTCTTGTTTTTTTATCTGCAAGCATGTTATAACTTGTGTATACATTGAAACAATGTAATCCCCCTCTGTAAATTATTTTCTAGTTGCGCCACTGAATACATTACTATTAATTGTACATACATAATTAAATATCAAGACTTAAGTCAATCAACTATTTATTATTCGGTTTAAATGTATAACAATATATATATATATATATATTATATGTGTAATTAATCCTAAATACTCTTCTGATTGGGTAAGCAATTGATTCACATTTCAAATCAATGAACAATGACTTGTTTCAGTAATTTAATTGTTCCAAAATATAATATTGGCATATTTTCAGTAGTTGGCATATTTCCACAGTATTTTTATTAAATACTGTGATTCACAACGATTAAAGCGATAGATGTGTTCGGCTTTTACCTCAATAAAATTTACTCCAGTATTTAAAATAGATATCGACGAATTCGAGGTCATTTCGATAGTATGGGCGCAATTTACTATACCCATTTTAGAAATGGAAAAATGCTAGGCCCAATTTACTATACTATTTTTATTACCTGTTCACTGTGAGTGTAATTTACAATCGCACAACATTTTTCAAAAACTAATTAACATTTCACACGAAACCCGTTAACTTTTATACTTCTAGTAGTTCTTTTCATTTTGAACAGAAGTACGAATGATAAATAAGAAAATAAGTTATTATTTCTACTATTTTCTTGTATGTATCCCCATGTTTTCCAGTCATAGCCCAATGAGAAAATGGGAAACACTATGGTGGACCACGCCCACTTACATATAGTGTAAGGTGTAACCACTTAAATTGATCATTTCCAAATTATCAATATTTATTTCAAGTATAGTTTCATTAATTCATTATTTTTTTTGCAGATGGGCAACAGTTGAAAATTAATTAATTTTATATTTAGTATTGTTGATAATAAACTACGAAATCTATAATGCGTTCAAAAAATAAAATGTTACAGGAGCAATGCTACACTGGGGCCCCGAGTCAGAGCCCTAGGACCCCGGGTCTACAACCAACCTCATTGGTATAATACAGGTGGATAATATTCTGAGGAAACAGTAGAACACAACATTTTTTTACTTTTTATTGGCAACAAAATATGTTATGTATTGTGCATAATATTATATAGTATTTATTATTAATATTATAAAAAAAGATAGAAAAGTGGATAGCGTTCTACTGAACAGTAGTTGTCGAGTATGTCGTTATAATGGATATGTAATATTTGAATTTAATGATACACCATCGCATACTACAATAAGAAAAATGATTCTGAGCTGAGACGCTGTGTCATCCCAGCACACTTGTATAAATAATTAAATTTTATAATTAAAAAAATTTATTAAAAATCGAAAATATCTCATGGCTATATTTTATAGATAGCGTGATTTTCCTATAAAATTAATTTTGTTGAAGGTAGAACAATTTGAAGGTGATCTTTTATTAAAATTCCAATGTTAGTGATGAAAAGAAAAACTCTTTTTTCTTACTGAAAAATCATTTACAACAATTTAAAAATTTCTTATGGCTATAAATAGCTGAAGAAAAGTCAAAATAGTTTGAAAATGTTATCATGTATGGAAAACTATCATTTCAACATTTGGTGAAAATTTCAAGCACCTACAGCTATTTGTTTTTGAACTAAAACGAAAAAACAAAATTCAATGGGTGATAATTGAAATCCTATGAAAATCCAATAACGTAAAAGTTGTAAATTCAAACGCTCATGAAAAACTAACTTTACATTCCAGTTAACTTATTTTGTTGTTTGAAATAAAAAAATTGTAAGAAATCTTCAATTAAAATATCAATATTAACTATTATGAATAAAAAAACTTCTATGAATTCCTAACTGAAACATAGTATGACAATTTTCGATATTTTGACGAATCTTGTCAAAATATGAACTTTAAAAACATGTAAAAAAATTGTGCCTATATATTTTTAGTAATTTTTAACTTCCATTAGAGATACTTATAAGGAACTTAGTATCAAACATAGTATTCAAACATTTTTATTCAGTGAAAAAGTTTTTTTCGAGAATATTTTACAAAAATGTATCAAGGCTATTAATAGATCAAAAACCAAATTCAAAAATGTTACCATACATGGAAAATGTTAAAATAAATATTTGGTAAAAATTTAAGTTGTCTGCGGTCATTAGTTTTTAAATCACACGACAACAATTTAATCGATTTTATTAAAAATTGGTCTTGCTTAAAAATTGCAACATTTTTCCAGACGCTTCTAAAGTTATTGGGAATTTTCAATTTTTACCTCTCAAAATTATCAACTAGATTAATTTTTCTATCAGAAAAGACACTGATGTAGAAAATCGGAGCATTTTTACTATTCCAGATGTTAATGATTTCATTGTAAATAGGTAAGTACAACGATACATTTCATTCGCTATTCTCGGAATCTAAAATAATGTTAGAAAGTACTAAGTTGGTATTTGAATTTGTATTAACAATTATTTATTCTAAAAAAGAAGAATACTTTTTACTAATTATTTAAAGATATTTTACTTGTGCTATTGGTTGTGTATGGTTTAAAATGAAATAATAATGCATCATTGGATAGCAAGCAAATTTAAGTTTTTAGAAATATACATACATATATATATATACAATATTACAATCAAATTGCAACTGTCGAACTTTTAAAATGTAGCTAGATAATTTTTTCAATTTTCAATTATTTATTTAGCCCCATCCCTCCCCACAACACTGAAATCCTCGTTATGTCACGGTCTAATACATTTATACACTTTACAGGTAAATTTAAATCACATAAAAATATAATAGGTATAAAGAGAGGGCGCAATACATTTGTAAGTAGCATAATATGGTAACCCTCATTGGATAACTCCTAACCAAATTTGCAAACGTACGTTCGTTGTTACGGCATTATCTATACCGAAGATCTTGCAACACTTTCAAATCGATTGTTTGGGAGCATATTATTATGAAGGTGTACCTATTAGGTAAAGGGGACAAAAGAAATATCAGCGGAAAACGAATTCGGTGTTATTCTGCTGTTTCGCAAGAAAAACCAAGTATAATAATATAATAATATCATAAGGTCATGGAAAAAGCCAAAAAGCCGCAAAAACCTTAGTGTAAGCACTTGGGTACCACATAATCATATAATTATTATCACGCATGCCGTCGCGATGGAAACGGAAGCGCGCAGACGCTAAACGCGAGATAATATGAACGAAATCGACGAAAACGATTCGGTAAAAAAATAAACAAACCTGCGGTTTACTAGTATCTTGGCTGCGTTGCACCTACGGCGGCGCGTGGTCTTCGGCCCCTGATGAGAGACAGATGAGAAACGTATCGGGCACGAGTGTACGAGACACGCTGTACGCCAATAATATAAAATTGTTTTACACACGTATGTACTATTGTAAATCGAACAATACGTACAATAATATGATGTTGATAAGAACCGGACGAGACGTGCGATTTCGTGGGCGCGAAATAATATTCGAACGGTGGACTTACGCGGGCGCAGAGGGTTGTTTTCGAATTGTCCTCTCCGTTTGATTCGTCCGAAAAACTTGTTGCAAGGTATACGACACAGCGGTGTGTACACGGACGCGCGCGAACCGGCGCACTCGTCTAAGACGCGACTGTCGTAGTGCCGCGTACGTGTACGCGTGTGCCCGCAAAAAAGCGAGCGAGAGAGCTGCACACGTCCACGTAGAGCGGAGAGGAAAACACAAACTCCCGGTGTTGTTGTACGCACGCACGCACTGACGGCACTCGCCGTCCGGGGCCAAAGACGTCGTCGCCGTCGTCGTCGGTCGTGTTCTTGCCTCCACCGGTTACGATCCGGTACGATTCGTCGTCGCCGTATACCACCGCCGCCCCCGCCGCCGCGGACCCGTTTTTTTTCAGACGTTCTCAAACGCGTAGCACTGTAATATAACATTGTTCGGTCTTCGGTATACGTGATATCTTACCGGACGGCATGGTCGTCGTGTGCCTACACGTCATGTTTTGTACAATAATAATATCGTAGGTATGATGTGTCGGCCGCCGCGGAGGTGGGTCAGCAGGTTCATACAGCACCGCTGCACCGCGCGGTAGTCGGTTATTGGTGAGAAGACGATCGACGTTATAAAATCTCGGAATGGATTAACCACAGCAGTGGCGTACCCAGGATTTTTCAATGGGGGGGGGGATTGAACAGAGTTAATCAGAATTGTATATCCTTTACTTTATACATACTAGGTCCTTATTGCCATAACACCCCGAACCCGTAATAACCTCTACAAATAATTGATAATACGCAAAATGTTTCTTCAAAACCGTTTTCAGAAATATCATGGTTTGTATACTCTGCCCTTATAATTATATAAGACTTATACCATACCATGGCCAGTGAAGGCGGCAGAAGTCCCCTTAGCCAACCCCCCTCCCTTGAGTACGTCACCGAGTAACTTGGTAATATTTTTATAATAGGTTCCTATCTACTAACAGTAGCGAGTACCATAATTTTTTGTAGTAGACATGACTTTTTACTCTGCAGTATTATTCGAGTAACGAAAAAGAATTTCACCAATTTTATTAGTTGGTAACTACCGCAAATTATTGTAATAAATTATATCGTATTATTACTAGTTTTTGTTAAACAACGTGAAACAATGTATTCGATGCTGCTTAAAAATCATTTGATCTTGGCACTCAGTTTACTAGACGTTTCCAACAGCACTTTTCATTCAACAGTAGGCACAGTTGTTGGTCAGAGATCCTACTGGCGACTCGACACCACGGTCGTATCACAGATTATTTAATCTGTGGTCGTATCCCGTTTCGACGCC